GTCCCAAACCAGTCTAAAACTAAGTCCAACACCGGTCCCAGACTAGACAATAACCAAGACTAAAGCCAGATCAAAACTAATCATAAAACCAGTCCATTAGTCGCCATTAGTAAGCCGTGGTCATGGTGACTGGCTCCTGGCAGCTCTCTGGCCTCATGAACACAAGGCTATAAGAGCTGTTAGTAGTTGACCTGTTTTACCAGATTTAACAACAGGTACACGTGTTTGCTTCACTTCGGCGCATTAATGTGAGAAATCTTGAGCACTGAATGCAGAGAGACGATGGAGAGGGTTGGACACACTCCTGGACATCAGGAAACCTTCCTGGCATTAGATGGTCTTCAGCTGCGTTCAGCTCGATGTGTGGAGCTGCAGTCACTTACTGAATCAACTAGTTTAACTCTTTAATCTAACTGCACTGTGATTGCAGCTTCTTCAGTGTGAACGTTTTCTGGTTTCTGACTGCCACCATTTTCTGACCTTTAGAGACCAAACACATCTTTTGTTAGTTTGAACTTTTACATCCGTGTTTTAAAACCAACAATACAACAATAAAACACTGTTTAAATCAAAGCAAACACAGCCGGTCCGTGTCCACAGTCAGGGTGTGTTGCCGTGGTAACCAGGGCCGTGCAGCCTGATAGCGTGGAGGCCGTCTGATGGAGATAAACACCCTCACGGCCGCTCGGCAGCAGCATCAACACACTCTGTGACCTCCGACCCCTCCAAGGTCCGTCCGGCCGCATTAAAGCCTCGCCTGCAGCCGCTCGCCTCATTCTCCTCCGCCTGCTCGTCGCCATGTCCTCCGTCCTCCTCCTCGTCCTCCTCGCTGCCTCCGTGCTCCTCTTCCTCCGGATCCTCCGCCGCTCCGGTCCGCGGCCCAGCGCTCCGTCCGCTCCTCCCCCGGCTCGGACCTCCATTCCTGGGCTGCCGCGGCTCCCCGTCCTGGGCAGCCTGCCCTGGATGGGAGGAGACGTCGCCCCCCATCTGCTGTTCACCCGCCTGGGGCGCAGGTGAGAGCCGGCCAGGACGGTTCACACAGGAGGACTAGTCAATGGTTGGGAGGACTAGTTAATATTTGGAAGGACTAGTGTGAGAAGACTAGTTAACGTTTTGGAGGACAAGTTTCTTCTGTTTACTAATATTTGTAAAGACTAGTTATCGTTTGTGAGAACTACAGAGAGGAAGAGTTATAGTAATGACTAGACAAAGCTTGGTAGAGCTAGTTAATGTTTGTGAAGACTAGTTAATAGGTTAATAACACTTATGTTTGTCAGAATGAGTCAGTGTGACTGCTCATGGGATTGGTAAAACTAGTTAATGTTTTTATGACTAGTTAGCGTGACTGCTCATGGATTGGCGTGGACAAGTTAATGTTTGGACATATTTATTAAAGTGTGGAAGGACTGGTTAACAGTTGGGAGAACTGGTTAAGGTACTGGTAGAGCTAGTTAACACCTTCATGGATGTGAATATTCTTCTGTGACTGTAAACAGAACATTCTGGGTTTTTTTGGACACTTGTCTGTACAAATGAGAACCATGAGAAAGCTGAACTAGTTTTGTAGGGAGCAGCAGGTTGCGTTAACCCGGTTAAGGTTGTGTGTTTGTGTGTTGGAGGTACGGACCGCTGTTTGCGCTGCACGTCGGGCCTCACTACACGGTGGTGGTGAACAGCCACGAGCTGGCCCGGGAGGTGCTGCTGCAGAGAGGGAAGGACTTCGCTGGGCGGCCGAGCATGGTGACGACCGTCTGTGTGTTTGGGCCGATTAGAAGTTTAGAGGTTTTCTGTTGAGTGTCTTTTGGTTCCTGATGGTTGGTGACGTGATCAGTGGGCGTACTGATAACGAGCCACAGCTTGTTTCACCTTTAGCATAATTTATATTCATTAAATTCACTAAAGGATGAACCCTTTATAAAAACACCATCTGCCCTCTTTCCTGCATTTACACTCATCTGACTACAGCAGTCTGTTTCTATTGTTCTTCTTCTTCTTCTTCTTCTTATTATTATTTTTAGCAGCAGCTTCTGAGCTACGACTGGGAGACATGCTGCCGTTGTTCTGTTGTTGAAGTGTTTTGGCTCATTAACATCCTCCTTTTTAATGCAGATAAATAACTGATTAGTGTTTATAAAATGAAGAGAACATGTGTTTTGTTGACTTGAATGCATTAATCTGGGAAGTTATTACATTTTTTTTGCCTTATTTAGACTAAAACTAACGTCCGTCCTCTCCGCTGTTGCAAATAAAAGATATTCTAACGATAAAATACATGAAATACGACTTTAAAAACTTAATTTATTTATTATCACATTCGATTATTCTCCCTAATTAATACCATTTGTGGTGTTTTTTTAGTTGTTGGATTTCTTTTCCTACTTCGTCTTATTTGTCTTATTTATTTCATCAGTGATCAATCTGCTGATTACCTCTTGATTGTTTTTGTGGTTTTGTCTCTAAAACGTCACAAAATGGTGAAAATGCTCGCCGCTAAAAGACAAAGATCTTCACGAGGTTTATTCTGTACGTCGGTCTGGAGCTGCGCCGATCAGTCGACTGGTTGTGATTTCATTTTGAAGCGATTTCGTGTTGAAAACCGGCTGAATTCTGTGATCGCAGCTTCTTCAGGGTGAATGTTTTCTGGTTTCTTTCCTTCTCTGTGACAGTAAACAACATTTTAGACGCAAACAGCTGATTGACTGATTCAGAAAATAGTCAAAAGTGGAAATAATCGTGGCTGAGCAGCGTCCTGGTCAGTGAACTGATGCACCGACAGCAGCGGCTCTGTCTTGTTTCTGCAGGTCACCACCAACCTGCTGACCAGAGGCGGTAAAGACATTGCGTTTTGCGACTTCTCTCCTCTCTGGAAGCTTCACCGCCGCCTCGTGCACAACTCCTTCACCCTGTTCGGAGAAGGAACCAGCCGACTGCAGGACGTCGGTATGAACTCACACCTTCAGCGTTTGGTTTACGTCTGACAGAAGGACGGTGTCGTCGGCGTATGTAGAAACATATCAGCGGAGACGTTAGCTTCCGTTAGCCGTCACTCAAAGGACACTGCAGAGTAAACGTCCAATAAAAAACAACTGAGGAGCAAAGTTATGCTCAAAAGCAGTACAAAATAAAACAGTTGAAGAACCAGTTAGAGCTTCACACACACAGAGTAGAACGGTTTCATGGAAAGACTTAAAATCCTAAAAAGGTCCATTACATTAGAACCTGCATTAAAAATAGAAAGGAAATCTGGAATTTAACAAAATAAGAGCCCTGTAATAATGAAATAATCATAAATTTATATATAAAACACAGTATTTATCGAGGTTTTTTAAAATTACATGAACTATTATTAGCTGTTTATTTGTTGTATATTAAAATATTCTGGATTATACACATGCTTTTAAGATGTAAAAAGACCTTAAATTGATCTAAAACTGTTAAAACACCCCTTAATTTGCACCTTGAAAGTCTTTATTTTTAAAAATTTTGGTATTTTCTTGTACTTTTTTTTGTTTTTTTTAAATAAATAAAACTGTTTGATATTTAGCTTTTTCAGATTAATGGACAACTTAGGGGACATAATAATATTATTAATAATAATAATAATAATAATAATAATAATAGTAAAAATAAAAATAATTTTATTTGGAAATTAATAAAACGTAAAATCTAAAAAAAATATTTATTATTTTAAAATCCTTCACATACACATTTTTTTCTGTCAAATAGCAGCAAATATCTCCCAGATAATGATATTTTTAGTTGATTTGAATACATTCATTAGTGTAATTTTACAGCCAAACAAATATCGGAGAACTGATTGTAAATACAAATTTGTTGATGAGGACATTTTTTTTCAGTTAAAATGCAAATTAATGCTTTTTTTCTGGGATTTTCCTGGATATTGTGTGTAATTTAAGAAAAAAGAGGAAGAAAAGTTGTGATTTTCTACAGTGTAGCTGTAATGTCCATTAAAAAGGTTAATTCAAGATCGTCTATAAATGTGTGTTAATGAGTGCATTTAGAGTTAAAGTGTCATATTTGATCATTTCAGGTGTGTTTTATGCTGCAGGTGTTTGTTTAACGAAGAGATTCCAGATTAACTTCAACCACAACAAACTAAGAGCCTGTTTTATGTCCCGGTTCTGTGTCCAGTTCTGTCCGCGGTCGACGATCTGTGCGTCGAGCTGCTGTCCGCTGGGGGGCGTGGCTTCGACCCGTCGCCCGCGGTGACCAGAGCCGTCACCAACGTCGTGTGCACGCTGGTGTTTGGCGCCACCTATCGCCACGGAGACGCCGAGTTGCAGGAAGTGATGCGATACAACGATGGCATCGTGCAGACGATCACCAGGGGGGGACTGGTGGACGTCTACCCCTGGATGAAGGTAGGGTCGGACGGAACGTTGCAGAGCAGCGACTCTTCTCCAAAACATTCACACCTCCTGAAAGCGTCACCACTTTACTCGAAACGTCCTCGTTTTCTATAACGTCCTCTTTCTCCTCTCTGGTCCTTCTTGACTCGGCCCGACGCTGATCTCGGTCCTCACCATCCTGGTTCCGTCCCCCAGCTGTTTCCTAACCAGACTCTCAGGAAGCTGAAGGAGTGTATCAGCGTCAGAGACCGACTGTTGACCCGCAAACTGGAGGAACACAAGGTGACCGACAGGAGTTTCACCATTAACCAGCAGAGGGCGCTGCAGCGTTCAGAACTGAATATAATAAAACTAAGAAATGAAGATGTTTGAACAAGACATCCACATGTTCAGCGAGACGCCAACACATCCACCAGACAGAAACACAACAAAGTATTACCGTTTCAAACTTTCAATGTTTTCAGGCGTCGCTAAGCGATGGCGACCCGCGTGACCTGCTGGATGCTCTGCTCAAGGGCCAGACGGGCAGTGGGCGGGGCCAGAGCTCACCTGGGTCGGAGGGGGCGGGGATAACGGACGACCACGTCCTGATGACGGCGGCCGAGGCCTTCGGAGCCGGCGTGGAGACGACGTCCACCACGCTGCTGTGGATCCTGGCCTACCTGCTGCACCACCCCGAGGTCCGCCAGCGCTTTACTGGAGCGGGTCAACATGAATCCGTCTGTTGTAGCGTCACACGATACCGAAGGAGACGCCAATAAAATACGCCTTAAAGGAGAAAATAAGCCAATAATAAAGACTCAAAGCTCTGTTGAGTTTACGAACTTTAATTGTTCAGGCACAGATTAACACACGTTTATGAAGACATACTAATTATTGTGTTTTTGGTCATATCAAAAAATAGCTGGCTTCTTTTGTTTTTGTTCAACTGCAGATAATGTCCCATAAAATCTCACAAAAGAATCTGAATTAATATGTCAGTGTGTTTACAAACAGTTCCTTTACTGGGTTTGACTGTAAAACTACACCATCGGTTCTGTATTTTTTTTATGAAACGAAAAAATATGTAGATGAAGTTTTAAAGCGGGTCATTCATTTTCTTACTGTTGTTTTGCCCGTTTTCTGAATGTATAGGTAATGTTGACTAAGACTGACTAGATTCATTCCAAATTTAATTATTTTACAGACTTCTGCAGTTTTTTCAGCACAGCCTCACGCTGCGAAACTTTGATGATGTGCTGACAAGAAGTCCTGGATTGTACATGATCATGATGTGATGTGGTTGGCCTCCTTGCTCCGCCCCCTCCAGGTTCAGGAGCGTGTGCAGAAGGAGCTGGACGAGCAGGTGGGCAGCGAGCGGGCAGTGAGCGTGTCAGACCGCGGCCGGCTGCTCTACCTGGACTGTGTCATCAACGAGGGCATGAGGATCCGACCGGTCAGCCCGGTGCTGATCCCCCACACCGCCATGACCGACAGCAGGTACACCTGTACACCTGTCCACACTTCATGCTAATGCTTTCTATAAAGCTAGCTAAGCTCTGTTTTTACTGGTAGCAGAATTTCTGCCCTGTTTCTGCTTTTATTAAGTATAAATCTTGACTAATAATGACGACACCTGGTGGTTATATACTCTGTGTGTCTTCTGTAGTATCGGCGGTCACGCTGTCCGTCGTGGGACTCGTGTTCTGGTCAACATGTGGTCCATTCACCACGACCCTCAGCACTGGGACAGACCAGATCTGTTCAACCCAGGTAGCGCTCGTTTAGCTGGTTAGAATTATCAGCATTTAAAAGCAAGCTCCTATGAACACCTTAACACACCACTTTTTGTCTTTTCCCGCCGTTCCAGATCGTTTCCTTGACGACCAGGGTCAGCGTGTCACACCTTCCTGCTTCCTGCCCTTCGGGGCCGGGCCTCGAGTCTGCGTCGGCGAATCGCTGGCCAGGCTGGAGCTCTTCCTCTTCCTGTCGTCTCTGCTCCAGCGAATGAGCTTCAGGCTGCCGGACGGCGCCGCCCCGCCCAACCTGAAGGGGCGGCTAGGCGTGGTCCTGCAGCCGCTGCCTTATAAGGTCGTCGTCACGCCGAGGCCAGGGTGGGAGGGCGGTTCAAAATGAAATGGGGGAGGGGCTTAACGCGATGCTAAGGTGTCTGGTAAATGTTTATTGAAGTAAAGAAATCAGTCGTCTTCATGTCTCTGGGCTTAAAGTTTCACATCACATTTATATTTACTCGCTAAAAACTACAGATACCAGCGGTGTCAGTTCTGCTAACCCATTAGATCCACAGCTGGACATCTCTGTACTTCAGTTTGGACTTGTTAGCAAACACCACTTATCACAGCTGTGACGCAGATATTAAATGCTAAAATACAGTTAGCTAACAGCTCTGTTTAGAAACATTAAAAATTACCATCAGAAACCCTGCACACAGCAACCAAACCATTACACTCGAGATAAAAGTTAAGTCTTCTGCAAAAATGCATTTACATTTTTCTGTAATTTCTAAAAATAAAGGTACATGTAAAGATTATTTTGTCACATGTTTTGGCAAATTTCGTCTTATAAAATGTGCACAATTACATGTAAAGAGAAGATAAAAGGCTAACAATCCAGGCTAATTCTTGCAAGCTAACATGAGATTGGTCCTATCAGTAGCTTTAAAGCAGCTCAATCGGAACATTCACAGCACCACATCTTCAAGCTAATGCTAACAGCTAGACTTTGGTTCAAAATTTTAAGCTGCTTATTATCATTAAGATTATTACAACATTATTACTGTTTAATTGATCAATAAAGTTTGATCTGCAGTATTTTAAGAACCAGCTAGCATGAGTGTGCTAGCTTTCTTATTAAATACAACAACCTTTTGTATGTTGTAAATTAACAAGCACACTGTTAACTGCTAATGCTAGGCTAAACTTAAGCTGCGCTACACTTCAAGCTAATGCTAATTTCAAAGCTTTGATTCAAAATTTTAGGCCATTTATGACAAATCATGGAAACTATCCGGTGAATTAATTACCACCGTCGTTAACTGTTGTTGCAGGGGGCGTAATCTTCATTATGACCGGTGTCTGATCAACAAACACTGATTGATCTGTTGAACGTGGCTCTGCTGCACAAACAGACACAGGTTTGCGATTTGACAGTTTTATTCAGTATAGTTTCACACACTTTTAGAACAGGCTGGTTTAGTTAGGTCACACGCACATACATCCACACACACACACACACACTAACTATTAATTTAGTAATACTAATAATTAGCATCGTCTTCATCATAATATTAAGGGGTTTTAACGACTAATCTCTTCTCTGCTTCCTCGGACTTCTCCGACAGAAACCTCATGCAAACAGGGAGGACAGGAGAGAAGAACATGGTGTAGACAGAGGGAAGGTTTTAGTAAATTAAAAGAATGTGCCGAACACCACAGGTGGAGCTGATCAAAGAGCCGAAAATGAAGTTTGATCCAAATCGCGAGTTTCACCGGAGTCATGCTTCAGGGTCAAGATAAGGTTTAAATAAGACTAAGGCTTGTCTTCCAGCCGATCTCGCGGTGGATCTCCACTTACAAAAGCAAACCTTTGTGCAGCCGATGTAAGACTGGCTGACATGACCAACAACTAGTTGCCCCAAGTGGCCACCAGTTGCAAACCTTCAGCAACGTTCTGGCAACAGTGAGAAGTCTCCCACCACTAACAAACATGTTCATTGGCGGTTTGCCACAACAGCTTGCTGGCAGGACTTCTAGTGACCGTCTAGTAACTACCGAGCTATTAGTTTGCCTTCGATAGCGTCGCTGGCGACATCGGCACCTCCCAAGGCTTCTGCAAGGCAGTTGTAGTCAAACTTTGGTAGTTTTCCCACAAATTTGCAGCAAGGTCATATTTTCTTTCTTTTTATTTTTTATGTTTATTTTCGGACATTTTCACTGGTGATCGATAGAGACGGCGGGGCACTGTCGAGGAAAGCAGCGAGGACCAGGTTTATCCAGAAAATCGAGCTGGAAACTCGCTGCATGAAGAACGTCTGAGTCGATTCCCATTCGTCCACGTCATGGTGATCCTGGGAGCTTCAGTGGAAAGCAGCTGGACTCTTGTTTCAGAAGTACCTTCACTTCTAACCGACTGATGAGGACTTTGAGGTGTTTTAGTCACTCCAGCTCACGGCTAGATCTGAAGAAGCCTCTTGGACGAGAAGTGAAACGTCTTCAAGAACCTGAAATAGAAGTCCAGTTGCTTTCTGCTGAAGCTCCTTGTGCTCATGTTTCATGTGACATTTAGCGATCAAGGTCATGTTGTTGCATCCAAATTAGACTTGCGACAGACATCTGACTAAGTTTGTGGAAAACTTCTGGCAGATATGTTTAAGGTTTGCTAGAATGTTGGCATATTTTATGGTGTTTTTATAAGATTTCAAAGTTGATTTACGTGCTTTTTTTCTCCGGTGTTTGCACCATCGTCTCTCAACAGGAAAGCAGTGGAGGTCTGACTTCCTCTCCAGCCCACTGCAGGTTTGCCACAAATAAACTCTGTCTGACAACATGACTCGGTGCAAATTTGAGGCCACATTTCCAAAGTGCAACTACAACTGTTTGCGAGAAATCTACAATTTTTGAAATGGTGACGAGAACCTACAGCTGTGCAGTAAAGACAGAAGTTTTCTTTTCTGTGTCCTGTTCCGATGGTTCAGGGTGAGCAGAACCTCAGTGGATCACCTATTTACTCCAGACTTTTAAGTGGCGGACCTGATCTCTCATTGGGGGCGATCATCCTGTGCAGCTTAACTTCTGACCCGTCAATGAGAATCCAGTCGGAGTGAAACTCTTCGGTCAGAGAGGACTGTGATGAAAATCAAGTTCTGCTTAAACATCTCAACGAAAAGACAGAAAGACAGTGGTTTCCAAAGGTTATCCAGTCCTGCAATCGGCCTCACACAGAGGGAGACCATTCGCGCTTTACCAGTCATCTGGTTGAAGACTTTGCCACCAGAACATCTTCACTGTCAAGTTCAAGTGGGAACTGAGACTCCAACCTGGTTCCTCACTGGACCCACTGAGCTACATAGAAACTTCGGCAGGAAATATGCTTGCTTTTAACTCTGCGTCTGCGTGTCCTACAGTTTGCGCTCATCCTCAGAAGCTGATGATAAAGAAAATATTCCGTAAACTTCCTAAAGTGTTTGTTCAGCTCAGTGCTGTCTGATTCTCTGGTGGCCTCTTCGCGAATCCTCCAGTAAAAAGGGAAATGCGTTAACGATTACATTCATGACATTGCTGGTCGTCGACGTGAATGCGTGAAGTTAAAAGCTAAGTGTATCTCCGGCCTAACGAATTGGGTTTTTCCAACCTCTATACGAAGGTCCATGGCGGTCGTCCACCGGCTCAGATTTTGTTCAGAGTTTGTTTGTTATCTGGAACCCAGAACCAAGTTCTGTAAAATATTTCAGCCGAATTTTGAGAATTTCATTTGAATGTCCCCCTCAAAAAACATCTCATTTTAATCCATTTCAAGCATTCAGTATCTCCACATATACAACTCCCATCGTAATGACATTTGGTGAGAACATGGACGAAGTTGTTCCAGCTGATGTAAATGACTGTTTATCTGCAGCAGAGGACATTTTTTAATCACTGGTCCTTGAAAGTGGACAAAAGTGAGTGTATTCACATCAGTTTTTGTCTCCTACCAATGAGTACACACCACCTTTTGTTAAAATAGCACAAAAAAAACAAACCTGGACCTCGTCTTGCCAAACTTGCAACACATCAGATTCTGCTGATGTTGGAGCCGTAAAAGAAATATGGATCCATCCATACATATACACACTTTCAGGATCTTTTTGGGGTCCCAGTACCACCCTCATCTAAAGAAACTGCACCTTCTTTTCATTTTCAAGGGCCAACAATTAAAAAGGTGTCCTCTGCTGGATCCATTTGGTCATTCTGATGTGCTGTAAACTGCTCTGTCTGCTTTCTAGGCTGTGGGAGTTTTATTTCTGGAGGTTTTGAACCCCCAGACTGGCTTCACAGGCAAGATGTCTGTTAAGGGTGAAACTGCAAAAGTTCACAGGTCTGAAAACACATGAAATTCTCAAAATCTTAAATTAGTTTTGGGTCTGATTTAAAAAAAGAAGAAGAAAACTACAAACTAAATCTTGAGCGGTGCAGCAACATATGCTGAATTCTGTTGGATCTGACGCCTCCAGAGAACAGACGGGACCTTCGTCACTTGAGCTTGACAGTGGTTTAGAAGCGCCAACCAGTTACTAAAACCACCGCTTCTCTCTCTGATCACAAATCCTTCATTGGTCTGTTTAGAAGTCACCAAAGGCAGAAGTAATTTCTGGCCAGATTCCTGTCACTCTCATTTCTCGGTACCTTGAAGGTCTTTGGACCTCAGAGCTGCACATCCTTTGGAAACCTGAGCTACAGACAGATTTCAGACATAACTTCTCCAGTCACTCTGCTCAAAAGTCCACATTCACACACAGAGCAAGAACAGCTCTATCTAATGCTAAGTAGTAACAGTTGTCAAGTAGAAATGGCACTCTGTAACCATGGAGATATATAACCTTATTAGTTTAGGTAAACAAAAAACACCATCAACCACAACATCAACCACAACATCGATGGCTCGGTGTCACCCTTGAGCTTTCCGGAGAAGGTTCCTCGAGCCTCTACGACCTCTTCAAAGACGTCATCGGATAATCAGCTTGAGCTGAAAAACCAGACGCCTGTGAATTTATCCAAGCGCACATGAATCCAGTCTCAGTTTCCAAGTTGAGTACCAAGAGGTCTGAAATAGAAATGGTCTGCTCTGTCACGTCCCTCCAATGGCAGGACAATGCTTTTGTCAGAATAATTAGCTTTGTCCATCACGGGCATCCGTCAAGAAAGTTGTACACGATGTGGCAATGCAGCATGGTCACAGGGTTTAAGACTCAGTCAACCACAATTTCCAATCGAGAGAAGATGCCCCACGTCTTTACCCTCTGAGACGATCATCTGCTGGTACAGTCCACTAAAGATTCTGACTTTTCCAACAGGCTGCAAAGTCTCTGCACATTTGTGAAACTTTCCGACACAGCTTACATTAACAGCTGCAAAAACAAGTGCACTTTGTGGGAGCAGGTGTACGAAAAACTAAGAGGCATCTCACCTTTGTGCTCCAACCAGTTTCTTTGATGCGAGATAACAAGGTGACTAAATGTCATTTCGTTTCGTTCACTTTGACCCGACGCTTCACAAATGCGATGGCACGCCTCCGTCAAGCTTGTTGGAGATCAACGTCCTGCTCGTGTTGGGTGAAAACCTCCAAGAAAAAGGTTTGTTCTGAAGTTTGCGTAAACCCTAGTCCAAACGGTTTCAGAGTTTTTACCCAACAATGACATGACTTCACCATCAAGCCGTTTTTAAGCCATTTTTTCCGGGGGTTACGTCCACACAGACTCTTGCTGATGAAAAATATTGCTATTCACTAATTTTAGATTCTACGGTGATTTGAAAAGCACCAGCTTGTACTATACAAATCTTATTAACTCTGCATCATTGACAAAATATACTCTACCTTCATGTCTTTCTGTCACAAAATATTAACACTGACACGCCTACTGAGCTCACAGCGTACGAAACATCAACATGTTAAATGACGGTCTTCACATAAATCCCCGTCTTTCCCAGTTTCATTTTTGAAGGCCTGAACACGTCTCGACTTTTTGGGTGAATCTGACATGGTCATAAAAAGGAGAGGTGTCTATGAATGGAGAGATGCACAAAGCAAAAGGCAGCGTTTCATTGTTTAGACCGGCTCTGTGGTGTTTATTGTTTCATCTCAGAGAAAGAGGCAGAGACGGGAATGATGACGTCTTCTGTCTCTACTCTGTTTGGTGCATTGTTTCTGTCTAAAAGTGCCCATTGTTTGCTTGTATTCCCGTCAGAGCTTTTTCTCTGCACAGGAAGCCAACCGATCCATCCACCCCGAACTCTTCAGCACAGAATGAGTCGAACCGGGAGAGGAATCTGAAAACGACCCACCTAATTCCGCTCTCCTGACAGAGTTCTCCATCAAAACGTCCCCTTAATGAATGAATCAGTCTTCCCTCTGTCAGTTAGCGTGAATCATCCTCCTACATCTGCCTCTCTTCAAGTCCAAAACAGCCAATCTGTCCACGGCACATTTCCAAACCTCCGTCATCGCACAAGACAAGCGAGGTGTCTCCGGGTAAATGTTCAACTATTTTAAGTTCTTAGTTTCTTGACGAATGAAAGAAAGCGTCACTTCTGTAAGGGGCGACCATGTTCGCCATCTTCATGCGACGTTTACGTCACGTTGGACAGAAGGCTCCCATGTTTACGGCTTGTCAGGGTTCGTTGGATCCGTTGCATGGTTAACGCTGCGCTTGCTTTGTGGATGCATATCTGCAATTAAGTATTTGTGCTGTCCCCAATTGTTTTGCATTATCGTGAGAATTATTTCCATTTATATGCTGAAAAACAGCTGGATGCCAAGTTTTACTGTTTCCGTGTTGCCCAACGGCGTTGTCAGTAACCGACTCCATTTTGATGAGCGTCTATTTGTAGAGGATGTAGCTGCTGTGGGCACGTTTTGGTTTCCAGTCAAATAAAAAAGGAGAGACCAACAAACTAGATGTGATTTGTCAGATTTGCATTAAAAAATGTGATGTTCAAAGACACTAATAACACGAATCTAAAACTAGCAAAGGCATGAAATGAACAGAATTACATTGAAATGATTTGCGTGATAATTATTCATTAATTAAAATTTCACAGTTGTGACAGCCACAGCTTCTGTTGCACTAACCAACAGCTGTTTAAATCCAATTGGAATATTACTGAGCATGGAAATATGACTTGTTAGCAAGCTCATAATTACCAGTAGTTTCAGTTAAATGTATGCAGTGGATTTTTGAGGCTGGGGTGTCTGCAAGCTAAAAAAAAAAAAACAGCTTTTGACTGCCGAGAAATGCAGCAATGTCCTAGCAAAAGGTGGAGGGGATAAAACTGCTATGGATGCAAACAATGCAGATTAAAGGTGGTAAAAAAAGATCAGAACTGACAGCCACAATATCCTGACATTTACTTTCTCGCGTAGGTCAAAACACCATAACCACAAGCCAACATTTCAGTCGATCTTTCCTTTGTGTGAAATGTAACGTGTGGAGTGATTTTAAATGTTATGTGTGAATGAGAATTAATTCAACACATTAAATTCACTCCTACTGTACTGTACAGAGCATTTACTACATTTATTGTGTGTCGGTTGTGCATGTTCTGCCAGATGGATTTTGCATTCTCTACTTGTAGAGATTCGGAGAAACGACGATTCGCTCACAAGACTAAACAAAAGCAGCGTTGGCTGTAAAGCACCGACTCGACGACATTTACTTTGACTATTACTGGATGGATCTGCAGACACTTTGGGACAAGCTGGTAACTGCTCTTAGCCTTCAGTAAAGATTTAGACATTCTTCATAAATAGACAACTCTCCAACTTGATGAAATGGACGTCCTAATTTTCCTTGAAATTTTACAAGCTAGCTGCAGCGCAGCAGTTCCTAAACACGTCTCCAGTACTTTCAATGTCGAATAAACCGTGTCATAATGCTTCCTGATGACTCTCTCTCTATAAACTATGTGATACCTTTGGGGGTATACTAATGCCACCTGACTCCATCACAATCACAATCTTTTCTGTGGTTACAGAAAATCAGTTTTAAGTGCCATCAATCACGTCATGTTTAACTCTTGTCTGGATGGCACAAGGTTTGATCCGCCCATTTATGTCAATCACACCGTCTCCATGACAATCACGACTTTGCCGCTGTCCTCGGATGTTGGCGTGGCGGTGGTGGTACACAGTGCGAGTCCTTCCCCGGTGGTCATCTGACCTCTCACAGGACAGTCCATGCTGTCATGGAGATCAGTGTTTCCACCCCCTTTTTTATCATGCTCCCCTCCTCCTCCTATCCTGCCTTCCTCCTTCCTTTCCCCCTCTTCCTCCTCGTCCTCGTCCTCCACCCGACACCTGCACACCTCGATCCCAGAGTCACCGGTAAGTCGCCGATGCCTGTACTGGCTCTCATCAGCTCCCATGTCTTCATCTTCATCCTCGTCGTTCTCCTTCTCCTCCTGCTCCTCGTCTTCGTCCTCCCAGCAGGGAGGTCCTGGTTCAAAGACATCCACGCAGGGAGAGAAGAGAGTCTGTTTTGGTGGGGACTGAGTGGCCCGAGGCGAGGGGGAGAGGGAGGATGCATGGCCAGAAGAAGATCCACCTTTGTCGGACTGGTGCAGAGCAGTGAGGGGGTCCAGGAGTAAAGCTGGTGCAGGGAGGGAGGTGGAGGACAAGGATTGAAGGGAGGGTGGGGAAGGAGGGGAGGTAAGGGATGGGGGTGAGGATGGGGAGACGGCTGCAGAGGGCGACTGAGAATTAGCAAGAGATAATTCAGACTCTATGTTTATGGCTGGGCAGAAGAGAGATGTGGACCCAGGTTTAGAGAAGGTGAGAACTGGGGTAGGGGTGGACAGAGATCCTGATCCAGAGCATAATCCAGACCCAGAACCAGAACTTATACCAGCCTCGACATCTGAAGGCAATGGAAGGATAAGGTCTGATGATTGAGCATGGACTGGAGAAAGACCTGAACGGTCTGCCACTACAGGCGAATCTAGACAAGATACAAGAACAGCAACAGATCCTGAGTGTTGTGACGTCTCTGGACTGGGAGGAGAATGGACGAAACCTGATCCACATGACAGTTGTAGATTCCGAGCTAATATGGGTGAAGTGGGTGCTGCTGCATCTAGGTTAAGATCTGAATGTGCAGATTTTGGAGTTAGGTTAGGGTTACTTATGGAGTCTGCGTTGGTTTTCGGTTGTGGGTTTGGAACCAGGATCTGGTTTAAAGGTGCTGGATCTGAAGCTTGGATATGAACTGAGGGCAATGATTCTGGTTCTTGATCTGGAGTAAGCTTTGAAGGTGCCGGAATTGGCATAAGGCTAAGACTTGGGTCCAGCATGGGGAGACCATCAGAACCTGTTATCAGGGCCAAAGTTCTTCCAACATCTGGAGACGGTACTGAGGCTGGGCTACAAGGAACAGTGGATGTGTCCAAAGTTCTTGATAATTTAAGGGTTTCTAGGGCTTCAGGAGCTTTAGGGCTGAGAGAACCGCTACCTGTTGGGGTAGGAGGCCCTGACATTGAGGTGGTCTTGGGGGCAGGGATGGTTGCTGGACCCTCAGTGCTTATTATCTGGATGGAGGGGAGAGTTGTGTCAACAGCATTTGGACTTGGGAGCGTACTTAAGCTACAGGCGCTAACTGTCGGGGTACATGGTGCTATGTCCAACTGTTCCATTGTGGGAGATGTCGTTCCAACAGGAAGGGTCAACTCGGGACCAGGTGAGGGCGGAGGCTGGGGGGAGGCTGCCCTGGTAATAACCGCCACAGTAACAGTCTGGTTGGGAACAGATGAGTCCGTGGCAATGGGTTCCTGAGCTCCAGCAGCATCTGCATCGTCAATGTCAACAGCCACTGTGGCGGCCCTTGTCTCCGAGGCAAGTCGAGCCTCATTTACCTCCAAACGGGTAGCAGCGGCAGTGATGGTCTCCATGGTGACATCAAGGGTGAGGGGCGTGGCCTCGCTGGGTGTGGAGGCGTGGCTTGTGTCTGTCTCATACGTGACTGGTGCTGACAGAGAGGAGCTACATGGAGAGGAGGGGCAGCAGGAGTCACAGGAACAACTGGAGCTGAAGGAAAGATGCACATGTAGGTTTTAGTGGTGGAGCCCCTTACTGTTTAACAATGCAGAGACCAAAAGAGGCGGGCACTTTTGTGTTGGCAAGCAAGGAGTATTGTGGGTATTTAGCAAGTACAGGAGCACCATGACAAAGTCTTTTCTGAGGCTTACTGACGTCAAGCCAGTGCACACGGGTCAGGTTTAGCTAAGATACACTAGGACAGGGATTTAATATTCCAGTGACATACGAAGTGGTAGACTTTGTGGCGTGTTACAAAAATCAGCATACCTACTGCTATCAAAAATGGCTGCGTTCGGCCCCTCGTAAATGTAGTAAACAGCAGCAAAATGCAGTAATAGTTGTAAAGTCTCAATGGCATTCACAGTAGTTTTACCAATGGAGGTGTTGCTAACGGTCGCAGCGGTGTTACCTGTTGTCGGAGCTGAGGGAGGAGGGCCCATCGCTGAGCGGCCGGTGCAGCAGCGGGCCATGCTGCGTCAGCAGGTGGGGGTCGGCGGTGCGCGGGGGCTGCGGGTAGCGAGGGGTGGTGAACACGGAGCTGTAGGGAGGCGGAGGGGTGGAGGGCTGAGCCGCCACCTCCTCATACGACGGCAGCTTCAGCGACGCCAGGAAACCTAAAAATGAAGAGGGGAGCAAGGTTAGAGCAAAGCAACCCAAAGATTCTTGTTTTTAATTAACTTCATTAGTAGAGAAGTGCCAGGAATCAAGTGGGAACGACGGGCTATGAGGTCGATCATGTTCAGTGCTAATTTAGTGATTTATTGAAAACCTTTCACACCCCAGTACCGGTGCTCAGTTTCAGCCCAGGCCCAGCCTAGTTTCCATTCTGACACTCAGTTTTATCCCCAAACCCAGTTTTGGCTCTGATGCCCAGTTTAGCATGTAATGACAGTCTATCACGTGTCGGGAACAGCTGAGTAGACGACAACATCTGTCAACTGAATGACTGTCAAACATCGCTCACTTCTGACTGATGCTAGTTCAACTGTGAGACGGAGTCTTACTGAGGTCCAGCATGGAGGACGGGTAGGAGTTGGCTCCATGGTAGGCCAGCAGGCTGATCTCTCTCTGCCTCTGTTGCTGCTGGACTCGTAGTTTGGCTCTTCGGTGTCGGTAGGCGCAGCAGCAGCTGAACAGGATGAGTACAGTCCACAGCAGCCAGAACCCTGAACCCACACATAGTGAGACAGACGTTACTGAGACACACCTGCCTCTAATTATTAGTCTATGCTGAAGGCAGCCCCAGTGTAATGTAAACCATATTCCATTCCACTCATCCAACTTACACCAGAGTTCGTAGTAGTAGGTGCAGCAGCCGGTCTCTCCACAGCAATGTCCCGTCTCGCACAGGTATCCACCATTAGCGTTGGCCCCAGGGCAGTACCGCGGTCTCCCCAGCAGGGGCAGGCTGCCACCGGAGTGGTACTCCATCGCACCCCTGCTCCGCCCACGCTCAGCCCCGCGCCACCGCTGCCTGCTCGCTGCTAACTACAGTTAGCTGCTGATCTCTAGATCGAGGTCGCAGTCCAGCTACATTTTTAGCTAATCTGTTCTCAGACTGAATTTCCCTTCTAAAGAGTTTGTTTTGGTTTGTTCGGTAGCTGTTAGCCGCTAACTGCAGGCAGTTTCAAAATGAAGGTAATTACATTTTCAGCACAGGTGAAACAGCTGTGTAGCAGCTGCTAGCCTGCAACTTTCAGCGTCATTTTTTCTGACAAAAACCCGCTGAGTTCATCACCAAGCATGGGGGGGGGGGGAGGGAGAGTCTGTTTCATTCATGCACGGCGACAGGATAGCGCCCCCTACAGCTGGTTTCACTGCACCTCAGCGAACAACCAAACTAATCCCTGCAGCTGTAGCAGCGGCTGGTAGGGCGAGACGGGATGCTGGCCAATAGGAGGTCCTAAACTGGAGAGAGAGAAAACACAATAGTTTATTGATAAACAGCACAACAGCACGTCACACAGCTGCAGCATCCACGACTGCAGACCTGCTTGATATTCATCACTGCACCGACTCAAACCACAACTGACACAAAGCTGCCACTCTGTCCATGACACACACAAGTTTGTGCCTCTGTACATGTGAGGACCATCACTGACATGATGCACTAATGGGAGCAGGTGTAGATTTCACGGAGGATGCACAAGAAAACAATAAACTTTGTCTGCATTTTTTAACTGTTAACTACAGATATTATACCTCCTTTGTTAACATACAGATATCAACTGGTAGAATCACAGACAAAAAGAAGTTGATTTACAAAAACAGGCTCAAACTGTAAATAATCCACACTAAAAATCTGTATTTCATAAATAGTAATGTGTTCTTGTTTGGTACTTAACATTTTATGATATTTAAATTGGGAAAAAAATATTCTTATTATACAAACATTCTTATTATATTTTATTTTTTAAATGTAATGTTTTTAAATGCTGTAAAGCACTTTGTGTTGTTGTTGTTGCACATGAAAAGTGCAAATAAAATTTGATTGATTGATTGATTGAAACATTTTATATTTATGGTCATTTATTTTTTGGAAAAAAGAGTAGAACAAAGATGGGGAAATGGTAAAACACTTTTTTCTTGTTATTTTACATATTTCCCAATTTTGATCACAGAAAAAAAGACTTAGATATAGATATAAAAGAAGCAAAACAAACAAAAACAGGCTATGACTAAAAATTGTCCACATCAAAAATCTGTATTTTACAAACAGTAATGCGTACTTTTATAATACGTGACCATAAAATCACCCTGTTTAACTGTAAATCCTCTAAAAATATAATTACTACAAAGGTATTTGCTGTTATTTAAAATTTTAAAAAATGTGTTAAGGACTGAAAAAAATGTTTAAAATGTTAACTACTGTGTCATGGATTTTTACCTTGATTGTTAAATTACAGATAATATGTAGGAAAATCACAGGAAATGATTGATTGTGTGATAATTATTCAACACATGCAATTGTGCTTAAAGCTGTGTTTTATTAAATCTGTGAAAATGTCAATATTCACACAAGTTGCTGAAAAACTTTTTGAGTCACCATTATTTGTGTGCAAGTGTTGCTTGTAAAGTCAACTGACACTCCAAATTAAATTATTACCCAACAACACCTAAAGGAAGAGAATTGACAAGAAGGCGGCCATCTTTCACAACACAGCAGAGACCCGTCGCTAAACGGCTTGGAACCAGCAGAACAGCACAAAATGACTCCACCAAGAACCACAAAGAAAAGGCAGAAAACGGTGCTCACAGTAACTGTCTAATAACTGTTTCCGAAGCTTTACATCCAAAATTACAGCCTTTAAAATTTGCAAATTGTATTGCTTGAAATTTGAAAACCAGCTCATGTTCAGCCCAATGCCCAAATCTAATACAAGCCCCATTACAGCTCCCATAAAGTCATACAGCGCACCATGACCGCCACACCAGCCCCTTCTGGCCACATAGGGCGCCCCACTCCATGAGCATCTTTGCCCATCTGGACCTCCAGAATCGAGGAACGCCACTGCCAACTGTAAAGTCTCACTGAGATGCTAACGTAAATATTTCTTTAACTAACATTTTTTCCCCCCATATCGCTACATAACATCGTGAAGTTAGCGGTTTTTGGCACCAGTCATTGGTCGGACACACAGGACTACAGTTTTATGAAATGGTGGCTCAATTCGTTTAAGCAAGAGCGTTTTCAAAGAGCCGGTGATCACAGAACAAACAGGTGATTTATACACCGTGCAAAGTTTCAATACAGCAGCACCTGAGGAGAAAACACCAGCACTCTTCTGCAACCACCTGAAAAAGGCAAAACCACCATTAAGCGTTGGCTTTAGCAGGGAGGGCTTAATAATATTCTTTTGTCCTTGAAGCTGCTGAAAACACTTGAGCCAAACATTATCTGCCTGCTACCGTAGCGTTTCCATGATAGAAGTGTTTGAGAAAACATTCGGGATGCAACCTGGGCTGATTCTCCTGTGATCAAGAGTTTCTGTGTGTGTGCATCGGCCTTGTTGGGACGGTTCCTTGTCTATAAATAAGTGTGCTTCTGCCACTGTTTTCTTTGCGTATGCTTTGTTTGTATTTTGCTTTGTGGATGATCAAGTTTTAAAGGCTCCTAATCTGATTCAAATTGTTTAAGATCTAGTTTTTGCAAACACCAAGTCCCAGTCTGATACTTTTTTCCTGGCTAACACACACTTCAGGTATTGTAGATCATGGGCAGTACCTGGTTGTGCCACCAGGAGCATCGTCCTGTCTCATACTGTAGAGGAGGGGCCGGCAAGCAGACAGCACAGTGAGAGTTTAGCTAGTAAAGGGGCATTACGACAAAGTATTCCACGATGCTTCATGATCTCAGACTACACGTACATGGGACACACGTAAACTTTAGCATATTTCACGTTTGGTGCCTGTGGCTTTAAACGGGACAAATGCCCACTTTGCTCCATTTGCATTAAAGATAAATTCACTATTGATTGAAATGTTCAAATGACAACATCTATGACAGCAGACGATGCAAATGACTGAGACCAACCAGCTAAAGGACTCCCTGACTGAACCCCCGTCATGTGGCATGTTTGACCTGTTGCAGAGAAACTATCGATCTGGATTCATCAGTGGACAAACCGTCACCGGTGGAAGTGACGGCCCCACAACCAGCCGACACCAGGCGCCTTGGTGCCACTGTTTGGGGCGCCTCGGCCACCTGTCACCCGCTGGAGGTCCGACACCGACACGTCCCGCTCTGCAGGACTGTCCTGAGCGCGTGGGCGTTACTGCTCATGGCGGGCCCCACACTGGCACACACACACACACACACACACACACACACACACACTGCTGCAGAGTTCAACCGGGCTCACGGAACCGGGAAGAGTTCCTCACCGGGCCAGGTTCTGGCTGCATGCTGCAGTGCTGCACACACACACACACACACACACACACACACACACACACACACATACACACACACACACACACACACACACACACACACACATACACACACACACAGCTCGGTAAAACATGACGGCTGACGGTCAGTGAACGCAGCACACTGAGGCCATATGTGTTGTTGTTGTTGTTGTTGTTGTTGTTGTTGTGTTGTTGTTGTCTCCCGGCGGTGCTGTGAGTGTAGCGTCTGTATGAAGTGTGTCCAGAGCCCGCAGACGGAGCCTCCGGCCCCGTTCACGGTGAAAGCCCCGGTAGCCAATAAACAAAAACAACCGTACCGCTCCATCCATCCGTCCGTCCTCCTCCGTGTCGCTCCGCGGGCCTCGCCGCTGCCGTCGTCGGTGTGCTTACGGTCGGTGTGCCGGGGTGTCGGTGCTCGGTACCGTCGGGGCCTCCTCTCTCCGTCTCTCCGGTCCCCCGCCTCCTCGCTCTCCCTCCTCGGTGCGACCCTCCGCCAGCCCCGCCGCCATCAGCGCAGCGGCACGTCAAGCCAGCGCGGCGCGGCACGACGCTTCTGCCGCGTTCGCTCCGCTGTTTTCAAAATAAAAGCCCGTCTGGAGGCGACAGGCGCAGGTGAACCGTTTGGGAGCAAATACTCAGTGAAAAAGGTCATTTAGTTAGAGGTAGATCACATCTGCACGGTAAATATGACCGTGAGGCCTTAACCTTAATGTTAAACTCATTGATAGTCCGTTTATCCGACAGCTCGTCGTCTCGCTGAGGTTTGGACCGAACTGGTTTTTCTTCTGGTTTGGGAACAGATTTTATTTTTCCACCAGTTTGTGAGCTGCTTGCGGACAAAGTCTTGGAAGGTTTTTGTGCGTTTTTAAAGAGTTTTCAAACTGCTTCTGAAACAGGTTTTCAACTGGTTTGTTCTGGTTGTGGACCAGGTCTGTTGGACGGGCTCTGGTTTTGGACTAGTTCTGGGCCACTTTTCGTCCGGTTTTAGAATGTTCTAAACTGGTTTGAGAACAGGTTTTGGACTAGTTTTGGACTTTCTTTGTTCATTCATTTGTTTTGTTTTTCCTTTTGGATCTTGGACGGGTCAGTCAGAATAAACTCGTCTGTAAGGCCACAGCTTGAATCGTGGTTTGATGTGTTCCCTCTGTGCTGGATTTGGTTGCGTTAAATGTGGTCTAAATAAAAGCTTCCTTTATTGGACGGGTCACACAGGTGTGTTTGTTCTGTACACACAACCTGCTTGGTTTTATATCAGATCTATGCTGATGGGTGAATAAAACAATGTGAACGTAGCAAAGCTGAGAAATGCGACGTTTTCCCTGCAAACCTTTATTTTGTGAAGATCCAACAACTCGAGCTGCAGCCGGAAGTTGTGTGTGTTTGGCTGAACTTGACCAGACAGCAGCAGCCCTGCAGCAGAGTCCTGCTTTATTCTGATCTGCTGTTATTATGGGATGTTTCAGACTCACCGTGAAGCAGCTTCAGCCCGTAAAACGTGAATTATCTGCGCCGCCGCTTCACCGGGACGAGCCGCTGCTCATAAATCCTGGCAGCGGAATTAAAAAAATAAAAAGGCGATTATGGATTCTCATGACGGACGCACTGGCCTCTGATTGGCCCGAGGTGGCGGGCTGCGGGCCAATCAGCAGGAGGGAGGCTGCTGCTCCTAGCAACAAGCCAGAACTTTGAATTTAAAGTATATATATTCTTTTTTTACATTTTTTATAGAGGTGCTGAAACAGGAAGAAAGAAAAAAAAAAAAGCTGCTGGAAGCCAGAGCGGCTGGGAGCTTCTCCTGAAGCAGCTCCGGGTTTAAACCCAGCTGGTTCTGGTCAGAGTTCTGGCTGAGACTCTGGGTTTAGCTCGGTTCTGTACATGATCATGGATGACTTCAGACTGCTTTTGGACGACGTTCTGTTCTGGTTTTATACTGAGCCTTGGCCCGGTTTGGGACCGGTTATGGACTAGTTTCATACTTAATCTTGAACTGGTTTTGGACTAGTTTTTGGACCACACTTAGACATGTTCTGGACCGTTCTCAGACTGGTTGTGGACTGGTTTTGAAAATGCTTTTGGACTGCGTTCTGTACTGGTTTTACACTGAGCCTTGGCCCGGTCTGGGACTGGTTATGGTCTGGGTTGAAACTATTTTGGGACCGGTTATGGACCAGTTTCATACTTAATCTTGAACTGGTTTTGGACTTGGGCTTCTTGTCCATCACTGACACACCCCACAACTGCAGAGTAATCAGAGTACTTCTGCAGATGACAGGACTCAGAGCTGTCCTGGAAGTCTGAGGTGTACAGTGTGAAGAGGAACGGTGAGAGTACAGTTCAGCTCATGATGATGACGTGTTGCTGATTCAACCTGTCAGAACTGGCCGTGACGCTCACTAGAGGTCCTAAACATTTATATTGATGCACACAAGCATCAAAAACCAGGACAGGAATGCACAGACTTCAACACACACATGTGTCAAGAACGAGGACGGTTGGGTTCATCAGTCCAGGACCAGCTGTTGCTCCGACTGAAACAAACGTCCCAGACGAGTGAAGTCTGGATGTGATCACGTTTAAACGTTCACGTCTTCAGCGTTAGACCTGATCTGCTCTCAGTGGGATGCTCCTGGAGAACACCTCTTCTTCTCTGGGCGGGTCGACACCCTCAGAGCCTGAATCTGGTCCAAGAGAGAAAACAGGAGAACGTTTCCATTTGCTGCTGAGTGTCGGCAGTTCCAGGTTGCAGCCAGCAGGTGGCAGCAGGCGGCCTCACCTGTCCAGCAGCTTAGTGGAACCAGAACAACAAAGACGGAGAGAGAACTCAGAGACGTCTTCTGTCAGCAGAACTCAGTCAGAACCACAGAAACCAGGAAACAAAACAACAACATTTACCAAACCTGGAAAAGAAAAGAAAAGAAAAGAAAAGAAAAGAAAAGAAAAGAAAAGAGTTCTACCTTCAGACTGGGAATGTTCCAGAGGTCCAGGTCCTTGAAGTCCACAGAGGAGGGTCCACATTGATCACTTTAATGGAGTTTTTCCATCATTTCTGAGCCTCAGAACTTCATCAGAACAGCAGATAGACACATGACATTTAGGAGGAAGAACACATCTGGGTTCTGCTAGAACCTGACACCAGATCAGTTCTACATCCATCCAGGTGTCTCGGTCTGAACCCTGGACCTGGTTCTGTTCATGTCCTCTGTCAGCAGCTGCTAGCATCAGTATTATGGGATGGATCATAGTGGTACCAGTTTAATGTCTATGACATGGAGTCATAGAAACAATCAGTGGTACCCTGGATGTGGTTCTGGTTCTGATCAGTCACCAGAGGAAACTTTACAAAGTGCATTCTGGGTAAACGTTCCAGGCTCATATCAGCGTGTGTGATGGTGGTTGGTCAGAACCAGTTCTAGTCAATGGAAGGACCGGTTGACCTCCAGAACCCACCAGAACCATCTACATTATTCATGATATATTGTGTTGAACTTATTCCTTCATGTGTTTTGCAGACGTCCAACATAAAGTACCGTAGAACCAGACATGAGCGTGATGAGCTGGTTCTGGTGCTGAACTTTAAATTCTAAAACCTGGTGTCGGTGTTTGGCAGGAACCAGGATCCTGTTGTGGAGCTTCAGTCGCTACCACACGGGCCAGGTCTGCTGGTTCTGGCGTTGACCCACATCTGGCCTCCACGCTGACATGCCTGCAGCAGCAGCTGGCCTCCCGCCGGCCCACGTCTCCTCAGAACACCTTCCTCGGCAGCATTCCTCAGCGTTTCTCAGAAACACTGATTTTCCTGATCCGTTGCCACATTTTTGCTGTTTCGCAACGACGGCGCCGGTTCCCACGTCCACCGCTCGCACGTGGAACCGGAGAACGTTTGATTTCAAACCCCAAAAAAAGTTTAGACTCTTTGCACCAAACGGGAGGAAGTTTGTTGCTCCGCCATCAGAGCGGACGCCAGGAAACCTTCAGAGGTTCTGGTCCGACCAATCAGCGACGCCAACTCAGTGTCAGAAACAGCAGAACGACAGAAACGGGTCAGAACAGAACAGAGGGTTCTTTCCATCCAACTGAGCAGAACCTTGGCCACAACCAGCTCAATGTTCTGGACACTCTGTGGTCGGGCTCTCTGTTGGCCGAGCCGTCTCTTTAGAACCGGTTTATCAGTCAAACTGACCCGTACGGTGTCGACCCAACCGGCTGAGACGCCTGTTTTCTCTCTTTGTGTTGTTTCATCTGTCTGCTGTGGTTTTTTTGTGTCTCTCGTCTTGAACAGGTTTTCTCTGCGGTTCTGGTTCAGTCCGACCCACAGAACCGCCCTGCTGCTGCTGCTCTGTTTGAACAGCGCTGGTTCAGATATGATTTCAGCTCCTCCGGGCGTGAAGGCCGTAAAACTGTTTTCCTGCTTGAAAATTCTTCACATTCAGTGACCGAGCTGAGAAACGCCTGGAGGCCAGATGACTGTAAAACCTCGTCAGAGGACATTTTCCAGAGACTCTGGTGATAATTACACGTTTGACCGCCGACGTTCACGTCAGAGACACGCGCAGCGCAAACACGTGAAGCATCCGTTAGCCGTCCGTCTAATTAGAAAACAGCTTCAGAGTTTAAATCGATCCTTCCACCGCCTCGAACCAGAAACACATCCAGGATACCGACGGTTCACTGTGATCCATCCCATAATACTGAGGCTCACATGGCGCCACACGCTGTACGCAGTGACAGAAAACATTGAAAATATCTCAAAGTTCTTCTAGATTTTGCCAAATTGACGAAATTCTGTTTGAAATTACTAAAAAAAAAAAAAAGTCTCAAAATCGTCTCCAGTCAAGAACAATTCGAGATGAACCAACATTTATGTAAAAAAGCTCCAAACTCACCAAAACAACAAAGTTCAGAAGGACATGAAACTGGTCAACGTCATTTAAGACTCATAGAAACCGACGGTGCTGAACAGAACCAGGTCCAGTGTTCAGACCGGGGCACCTGGACGGATGTAGAACTGGGTTTTGTCATTTTGTACATTTTTTTGTCTCGTTTCATGTCGTTCGTGTCATTCTTTGTCATTTCTTTTCTTACTTTTTGTAATTTCTGCATCATTTTTCCCTTTTTTTCATCGTCTCTCTTTCCTTTGTCTTGTTTCGTGACGTCCGTCTCATTGTTTTGTCTTTTAATCTCTCATTTTTGTCATTTTCTAATCGTTGTGTCTCTGTTTGTTTTGTCTTGCTGGTTGCTTGATGTCGTTTTGATCAGAAGCCAGGTCCGGTGTTCAGACTGCGACACCTGGATGGACGTAGAACTGATCTGGTGTCAGTTTTCAACAGGACCTGAACCTGTCCATGACGGATGAGTCGCTGTCAGCTGGGACGTGATTGGTCCATCCGAGCGGAGCCGGCGGCGCTCCTGGTCTCGTCCTGTGTGTCGTCTGTACGTGAAACTAATTCCAGGTGTCCGATGTGACGAA